GGATCAGGCTTTTAGGAGTGGGGACAAGGACTTGTACAAAGAGTCAAAGTACAGGTTTAGTAAGGCGGTGAGAGATGCTAAACGTCTGTACTCTGAGAAACTGCAACACCAGCTCTCAGCAAATGACTCTGCTTCTGTCTGGAGAGGCCTTAGACAGATCACCAATTACAAGCCTAAATCCCCCCACTCCATGAACGACCTCCGCCTGGCAGACGAGCTGAACGAGTTCTACTGTCGCTTTGATGGACAATGGGACAGCCCTGACTCCATCCCCCACAGCTCCATCAACCAGCCCCAGACCACCAGGTCCCCCTCCCCCATCCCAGCAGGGGCCCACGCCTCTGTATCACCCATCACAGTGTCCCCCCCACCCCCCTCCCCAGTGACGACTCTCTCTATCCTTGAGAGTGACGTCAACAGGCTCTTTAAAAAACAAAACTCCCGCAAAGCAGCCGGCCCAGACTGTCTCCCCCTCCACCCTGAAGCATTGTGCCGATCAGCTGTCTCCGGTGTTTACAGACATCTTCAACACCTCCCTGGAGACATGCCATGTACCAGCCTGCTTCAAGGTCTCCACCATCATCCCCGTCCCCAAAAAAACAAGGATCACAGGACTTAATGACTACAGGCCCGTCGCCCTGACCTCTGTGGTCATGAAGTCTTTTGAGCGCCTTGTCCTGTCTCACCTTAAAACCCTCACTGACCCACTCCTGGACCCCCTGCAGTTCGCCTACAGAGCCAACAGGTCTGTTGACGACGCAGTTAACTTGGCCCTTCATTTCATCCTCCAGCATCTGGACTCCCCAGGAACCTACGCCAGGATCCTGTTTGTTTGTTTGTTCAGCTCTGCCTTTAACACCATCATCCCGTCTTTGCTGCAGGACAAGCTCTCCCAGCTGCACGTGCCCGACTCCACCTGCAAGTGGATCACAGACTTCCTGTCTGACAGGAAGCAGCACGTCAAGCTGGGAAAACACGTCTCAGCCTCCCGGACCATCAGCACCGGTTCACCCCAAGGCTGCGTTCTTTCCCCTCTGCTCTTCTCCCTGTACACCAACAGCTGCACCACCAGTCACCAGTCCATCAAGCTCCTGAAGTTCGCGGATGACACCACCCTCATTGGACTCATCTCTGGTGGGGATGAGTCCGCCTACAGGTGGGAGACTGACCATCTGGTGACCTGGTGGGGTCTGAACAACTTGGAGCTCAACGCTCGAAAGACAATGGAGATGGTTGTGGATTTCCGGAAGATTGCAGCCCCACATGTCCCTATCACCCTGTGTGACTCCCCCGTCGACGCTGTGGAGTCCTTCCGCTTCCTGGGCTCCATCATAACCCAGGACCTCAAGTGGGAGCTGAACATCAGCTCCATCACTAAAAAGGCTCAGCAGAGGATGTACTTCCTGAGGCAGCTGAAGAAACTCAACCTGCCAAAGACAATGATGGTGCACTTCTACACAGCCATCATTGAGTCCATCCTCTGCTCCTCCATCAGTCTGGTACGCTGCAGCCACTGCCAAGGACAAGGGCAGACTGCAGCGCATCATCCGCTCTGCTGAGAGGGTGATTGGCTGCAATCTGCCGTCCCTCCAGGACTTGTTCGCTTCAAGGTCCCTGAAGCGAGCAAGGAAGATTGTAGCCGACCCCTCTCACCCTGGACACAAACTGTTCGTGCCACTTCCATCTGGTAGGAGGCTGAGGTCCATCAGCACCAAGACCTCACGACACACGAACAGCTTCTTCCCGTCCGCACTCGGGCTCATTAACAGAGCCCGGGTCCCCCACTGACTCTGTCACCCCAGGACAAATTCCCACCGGTCACTCCCCTGCATCCCTTCTATTACACTCGACACTTTACACTACACTTACATCTCATTTGTTTATAGTCCTGTCGTCTGTTCGTTGTTTAAAGTCCTGTTATCTGTTCGTTTGTGCACTTTATTTTAGATTTCACTTTATTTTATATTTCATCTTTTTTTATATTTCATTTATTTTATATCTTACTTTATTTCATATTTCTTGTAAATTTTAATATGTTTCTACTTGCACTGATTGTTGTTGATTGTTAAATGTTTGCACCTCCCGTCACGCCAAATTCCTTGTATGTTCAACATACATGGCAATAAACAGTTCTGATTCTGATTCTGATTCTGATTGTGGGGAATGTACCAGACCTGATGGTCAAATTTAGATATTTCATTTAATGTAATCTAATAGTATTAACTTCTTTTAACAGTCCACTGGGAACAAACTGTTCAACACAGAAAAGAAGAAGAGCCACTAGATCATAGATCTCTCTAAAGAGACAGAAAGACCAGACCTGCTAGCTGAACTCTGCTGATGACAGCATGAAAGATATTTGATTGGGAACAAAAAAACTAAACATCAAATGTCTCCTGAAACGGGGAGAATCAGTTCAGGTTGAAGAAAACACAAAACAACAAAAAACAACCGCTGAAACAAAGAGCAATGCAACATTCTGAGAAGCAGCTGAAGACGCACGGGTGAGCACGCTGAGAAACCTTCTCCGTCATCTCCTAATATGGCATGGCCATGTTTTAAAACGTGCAGTCGCAGGCTCCCCGTAAGCTAGAAGGAAGTTGCAGACCCTGCTTTTCATTTTGAAGTTTGAAATTGTGACACTTCTATTAAAAGTACATCAGTTCTAAGCAAAATGTAGTTTTATAATAGTTTAAAAATCTTTGGTCTTGGGAAAGATATTAAGTCATCCCAAATTAAACGGGATAATAATGGTAAAGTCAAACTCAAGCTGCAGGTCTGCTTTGATTTTGTCTAGTACAAAGTCGTTAAATGAATGAATTGAATCAATAAAGTCCCACCTGTAAGTCTCAGATGTGAGAGTTTGAGTGTAGAATCAGTACATGAAGCTTGAAGAGTGGTAACATGTATGCAGAGGGCGGTGATGCACGGCTTCCATTCTTACCTTTCCTAATACAGGTGTAATTTTGGCTGAGGATGGTCTGCAACAAAGAAGAAAACAATGTTGAAGAAACAAATGATATATATGAAGATAAATACCTCTGTCTTTTAAATTCTGACACATTTAGAACGTTAAAGCTCAACATCAACATCCTGCCGTAGCCCCGCCTGAGGCAGGACTACAGCAATGTGAGGTTAACGAGGTGTGTAGCAGAGAGTCATCTGGTATGACTTCTAAGGCAGCAGCAGAAGGCAGAAGATGTAAACCTCCCTAAATTCTCAAGCAGGGCAGCTCCATTAGGGCTGGAAGACAGACGGATGAGGGAGAGAGGGTATCTCCACACAATCCTCCACTGCAGGGAAAGGTTTTCATGTCCTGGACCCCCAATGGACCATAAAACGAGTCTTTGTTCAAAGGAATAACATATGATGTTTCTGTAGTTACTGGTTTAGTTTTAAATGAACAGAATGAATGAATTGACCGCTGTGAACTTGTTTTGCTTGTCCACAGATTCCAAATTCATTCATTGAAGAACCAGAACAACTGTTGTTTAAACAGCCCTTTTGTCTGGTCTGATTAAAGTAAAAGCAGTTTCTACTGGCACCAAACTAGTGGGCATACAAACACACCTTAGACCAGAGATCACACATTGGATTCATAGTAACGGATGATGTGGTTTGTTCTTTTTGTTTTGTTCATAACAGCACTGCTTCAGTTTAGAGCTATTTTATGCTTCAGTTCACTTCTTGCTGGTTTGAGTTGTTTTGTTTTGTTCAGGTGGCTGGTTGGCCCACTAGTCACCAGTGAGGGATGCTCTTCTGCAAAGAGCTACTGATTCATTCAGAAACACTGATAATTCATTACACTTATTTCAAATCGAGGATTTAAAGTTTAGTTTGTTCATTCACTGAAAAACTCCCATCCAACCCACTTAATACTTAATACTTAATACTTAACAGTAAATCACACGAGGAAACAAAGAAGCACAGATCAGTTATCAATATAATGTCTCTGCTCCAGTTCCACTGACAGTGACTGACTTTACATGGCTAATACTATAATGTACTCACCTTGAACTGCAGGTACTGGCGCTGACACTACCCTGGATGCCAGCATTGACAGTGGGGTTGGTGACAGAACTCGGGACAGCTGTAGCATTGGTTTCAGCTATGGCCTGACTGCAGATCCATTTGGTCTCATCCACCACTGTGCGTGCATGAGGCAGACGACCAACATCCCTCACCTTCACCAGCAGGTGGCGTCCTGTTTTGAGGATTTGAACTGCCTCATCATGGGAGATGGTGAGAAAGCTCTGACTGTTGATCTCCATGATCTGGTCACCCACCTGCAACAGACCAGTTTACTGAAAGAGGAGCACTACATGTCCACCATGAGCGCTCTCTCACATTCTACATTACGTCACTAGTTGTGATGTGTTTACATTGCAGTCAGTAGAGACTTGGCATACAAATGACATGCAAAAGGCAAAAAAGGCTTATTGCACGCAGAATGATATGCAAATAATTTACAAATTCAATGTCATTTATGCACCATTGCTGAGAGCAGGCTGCTCTGGGAGACAGATCTTCAATTAGTGGCTCTACATCAACTAAAGTTCAGCCAATGCAACAGCCAGCTCTTGGAGTAATAGCAGGCTGTGCCAGTGGCAACACTGGGTCTGACCCATTTTAGAAAGAATGAGCTCAGAAGAGGCAACAGGAGTCGGGGGCAGAAAAGAGAAAACAGAAGAGTGTGGAAGTGGAAGTGGTCTAGTCTCTCCTTATCCTTGATATGTTACTTCAGTTCAGTGTAGCTTGTTGTTGGATGGATGGATCACCGCAATACAACAGTGCAGGTCTTCCCCAGAAGTTCATGAGCTGGAGAGGTGTGCAGCTGTAGTGTGTCTGCAGCAGCACTTTCACTGCTGACTCAACTCGCAGCCCTCACTCACCTGCTGGTGAGCCGTCACTGGTGAGCCTCGTCACTTCATGTGATAACTTCAGTTGGTACGCGAGCGCCTTACAATGAAGTCCTTATCAACACAGCTTAACCACACCTCAGTATTATGTCTCAGAAATGGAAAACAATATTCAGCACTATGATTTCATTCGTGTATAATCACCTGAAACTAAGAAACGTGTTTTTTATTAGTTTTCTTCATGTTTTGGTTTCTTTTATTATCATGCTGCAGCATCTCTTCTGCTCTGTGTCGGGCTGAGCTCCTCCAACTACAAACACACAAACACACAAACACACAAACACACGAACACACAAAGCAGCCAGGAGGACAGAGGACATGAGGAGAGAGGACATGAGGACAGAGGAGAG